GACCAACACCATCGTGTGTAATGTATTCATTACTACACAAATGTCTATATTTCAGAACACTAAAAAGCACTCCGCCCCACTTATTTGAAAACACCGCCAGTTACATTAAGTCACCTACGAGACGGAGCAGTAAAATAAGAGCTTAAGCAAACGGAAATAATGTTCTACACGATGTAAACTGCTAAGTATACTTTCCTAAATGACCTATAGATTTTTTAAGGCTTTGGAAGTTTTGCTTAGTTTAATGAATATCTGAAAAACGTACGAGTATTCAGGAACAAAAATATGACAATATATGAATTTATCGTTGGTGTTGATTAAAGCTTTGTGAAGCTTTTAAAGCAGCAAACTCGCTATCATCTTATGTCAAACCGCTCATAATTGAAATCGTTTATGAATCATAAAACAGACCAATTTGTAAAGTAAAAGAAATCTCAATCGCTATACTGAAAGATGTGGCGGTTGTGAGTGGCGGAGACAATGCGCTGGCGCCGCGGCAGACATCCGTCCATTGTTCACGGTTATTTGTGCGCTCCAGGCATAGCTGGGACGACGGGGCCTATATGAGAGGACGCCACTCGATCTCAATGATAGACCGGCCACGTTACAGATTCAGAAATACTAATATTGAAGGCATGAAAGACTTAATGCTACATCGAAATTAATCGTATAATTAGAAAAAATGTTTACATTTGCATCTAATTGGTAATTAAGTGCTCCTTAGTTAGTTTATGTAAGTTATTATTTAACTGCTTTTCAAATAATTTTACAAAGTAAGTACCTAAACGTTTTTGCATAACAGCAGCTGCTAGTAATCGGTAAATACGTTGAAGTTAATAATAGCAAAATACTCGTAACATCAAACACTTTTGAACTACATCATATACCTAATTGAAACGTTACGTAAATTACAACAAAAAGTTCAATTCCTAACCCTTTTTCCCAATTTAACTCTTTATTAGTGACATTAAATCTGGAAATCCATGATGGGAAGTTGCAGACTACCTGCTTAACATGATTGGCAGAGGTCGCTGATAAGCATTTTGTCAAAGTAAAAGTAACTTCCCTAAAAGTATTGGGATTTCCTATCGAGCCATCATTGGCGTTACCCTTCACATCTGATTTGGCGATAAGATGTGTCTGATAAGAGCACGCGGGATAGTTGACACGGCATTTGCATTAACAAATGGAGTGTTGTCAACAGCCGCGAGTTTGCACAAGTGCTCCTGCGCCGGGGACTTGTTTTTTATTTTCACTTGTTCTAGAAATAATTCTATTATAGAGATCGTTTTATAGAAAATGAAAAGCATGTTGGTAAACTGATAGGCAATCGCAGTAAAAAAGATTATTATTTAATATGCCCTTTGCAGAAACTTATGAGTATTACTTGGCCGCCGAAGTTGGGTTTTTATTGTTTTTTAGTTTAACTAGTCAACAGTTTTTTCTTACGTGAATCAATTTTATGTACTTAGTAGGTACATTGAATCGTTCTGACATTCTTGTTTAAATATTAATGTTTGGTTTGGTCTATCTGAAAGTCGGTTTCAAACTAGATCTGAAAATACATATATTTCACTACGGACCAGAAAACATGTGGGCTGACATAAATCGTTCATAGAAACAATTACTCGGTCGCGAATACGATACGCAATTACTATATTTAAGCACACCCAGATCTGGTAGATAGCCGTATCTGTTCCAAGCAGAACACCGAATGCCTTTTACAGGCCACAAAATGCAAGCTGGTAACACTGATTGGTGTGCGGGATAAATTTAGCCGCTCCTGTGTGTTTGTTTTTTGAATTCCAGAGGGTTGAGGCGAGCCCTGAGTGCTTGTCTCCAGACCTGCTTTGGTATTGATTTATTTGGAAACGGACGAGTAATTTTAGATGCAGTAATGCGTGTTCCTGCAGATGATTGTTTCGCGAAATTGCTTGTAGCTTCGGGGGAACTTTATAAACCTTATCTGGAATTCAATGTGCATTTTGTCACTATTTGGGTTAACTTACAGTACTAATCAATAGTTCATTGTCACCATGTGTAGAATATTTTCAAAATTATTGTGATTTAGTTGCGTTGCGTTCAACGCAGACAAGATAACTTCACGCGGGTAGGGCTCAAGCACAAAAAAGCTGTCGCCGTTACCCGGACCCTTGTCTGGCGTCCTGTCACTCCCTGAATGGACCTCATTGTTCTCTCCCCCCCTCGCCTTATCTCGTGCTTTACACCATGTGTCACCACACCAAACCCAGCAACGCCAGATGCAGTTAGTATTAAAACCTGTTTCAGCTAAATGTTGATATTATCACTGTACCTACCTTCGTCCCATCGCCGAGTAAATGTTATATTCTAGCTCAAAAGTCATGTATTAAAGGTAGACCTTCGCCATATTATAAAGTCGTCCCTAGTGAAACAAATTCGTAATTTTATGTATCTTGGTAAATGCTAGTATCCTCGTAATTTCCAGAGAAAGGTAAATAATAATAATAATAAATACCGCTGCGCTCGTGAGACGCCCTCCAGCAAGATGTAGCGATGATAATGATATCGTAATTTACCTATGTATAATCGCGAAAATTCTTGCAAGACGGGTAGAAGAGATCGACGCGCATTTTGAGACCTACAGCACCTACAGCATTGCCTAAGATAAGAACTGATGATGATGTAAATTATAAGTATCCTCTATTTTGTTTATAGTCCCTGTAATATTTAAAGTGATCAGTTAAAAATTTGAGCACACAAGCGTCGAACCATCGGGCTCGGTTGAACGCCATACTAAACGCCATGTGTCCCGACACGTCACCCGACATTCAAGCCACCTCCAGCGCCGGGGCAACGAGCTAATTACTCATTACCACTCCACTTAACACGCGATATTATCGTTATAAAATAAACACCACACGCAGTCTTTCATGGAATAGTTTGGTTTATAGGCTGCAGATCAAATGCTAACGGAATTTAGAGTCGCGAAGTTTTTGTTGCAAAAGCTTCAAGTATTCCCACTGTCTATACAGTTAATTGAATTGGTCATTATTTGACAAGCTAGTCAATTTTAACTTATGACGTGACTAGGAAATATACTTGACAGGTGAAACTGTTTCGGAAATGGTCTCATTTGCAGTGTAGTATACCTTCTTGTATTCTGTTACATTAGAATACCTTTCCTTATCCAATAACGCAGCCACACGAGTTACATCAAATGTGATTGTACTGGGGAAGTGGCCACATTGTGTTTTAAGCTACTTTGAAATTTAATGGCCCGAGTGGGGTTAAGAAACTCATTAAATTGTAACCACACAAAACATCAAGTCTGATGAATTATTTAATTGTTATTTTCATGTAACGTTGTGATATATTAAAGTTACGTCTAGAAAGTTAAGTGAAAGACAGGAAACCACCCCTTTCTAATCGTAAATATGCATTATTATATAAAAAGTATTACAAGAACTATGTAGGTATTATTAGTGTTATCATGTAAATTAAGTTCAAATAAATTCATGAATTTTATATTATTTAATTGAATAAATAATTTAATATTATTTAACATCAGAAACAAAAATGTACTTAATTAATTTAACTGGCATAAAAAGCAGAAGAACAAAAGAAGAAAGGAAAAAATGTTTCTGTAAATAAAACAGTTTTATGGGACGTTCCATATTTAAACGCAGATGGATGGAGTGACGGCTGCAGCAATGTCAAGGACGCTCTCAGCTGCGCCTGCGCGGAGTGCGGAGTTTTTGTTTTTGTAGAGATCCGTGCCATAAAAACCATACGTTTTAACTTTGGAGACGTCCTTGACATCTAAGTAACTTACGTTAGTTCACACTTTTTCAGTAAAATAAAAAAGTCTTAAGTCTAGATAACAAACAGCAATACGCTGCTGGTCTAAGCCGGTTACTCCCAAATTGAAATCGGTCGTTTTCGTAGGTGTTAGCGCATAGCAATCACTACCACTAGACCGGTGTTAGATATAGGATCTTAAACATTGTTAAGTTCGATTTTAGTTAGTTTTGCCCCTATAATTTTGTGTACCTATATGTATTGTCCAACTATAGTCCGCTTTAGCAGAATCCCTCTTCAATAATTTCGTTAAGATGCTTTTGCAAGATTCCCTGTAGAAAAAGTTGAAACAATTTAATTTTCTGCGGAACCAGTCCCTTTGTTCTCGCAGGACTTTCGCTCCTGCAGCTGCGGCTGAGTGAGTATTTTTATTGGCCGCGAGATTTATTTGTGCGCGTCTCGTTTTCGGTAGTCAAATTATCTTTATTTATTAGTCTGACGAAGTGAGAGCGACTTCCAACTTTGGAATTAATTTGAATACATGAGAAACTAAATAACTTCTAATTCAACTCAACGCGATCGTGTTATTAGCTTCGCTTCTGACTTCTAAGCTTAGGATTTCTATAAAAAGCTTCCAACCTTCAGTCCAAAAGTCCGTTCATTCGTTTTGTGTTGCCTGAAGGAGTAACTAAAAGACACCCTTAAAATCTGAAAATAAAATTTTAATTTATTGTCTTTACTACTCGTAGGTACTTCTTATACAAAACTAGCGGCCGCCCGCGACTTCGTACGCGTGGATTCCGTTTTACCCCCTTCATCTATCTTACGTGGTTTAGATTTTTTCATACAAAACTTTTTTTCCGCTAACTCCCGTTTCTGTGGGAATTTTTCAATATCCTGTTGTAACTAATTCCGTCCGCGACAATCGTTGAGAGCAGAAGTGTCGAAGCCTTGTTTGAAAATAGTTAAAATACGCACACGGAATAATAACTGCATTAGTGAGTGATTTTAAGTGCATAAGGGTGAATATCGCTCGCAATAACAAACACCGTTACGCATCGTTCGTGTGAGACGACATTCAAAGTGTATAGTGCTTTCCTTGTTTCGCACCGCATCTACCGGTCGCGTCAGCGGAGTGCCCTTCCACACCTCCTCCGGTTAAAGGATAGAAGCATAGTTTTGGCTTTATCACACCTGTATACGAGCTGCGCACACTCACAATGTCCCTCCAACACACACCTCCAAACAAATTCGCCTCAGACACAAACATACCTACATCGGTGTGCCTGGAAGATGATGCCTTCATACTGAGTGTACGCAAACGTAAAAAACAACCCGACAGTGACGACACACAGGAGAGGTTAAGCAAACAGCTTTCAGAGCAGGAATCCAAAATTACAGACTGCATAACGGCAGCAGTGAACTCCGCGTTGGAGAGAGAGATGTCTAAGGTTTCGACTTTATTAACAGAAATCAATGCCAACGTCATGAAACTGACCACCGATAACATCTCAATCAACAAAACCCTCTCGGAAACTAACAACAGACTGAGCGAAATGGAGAAATACTTGAACTTTTCTTCGGACCGCCAGGATTCATTTGAGAGTCGCCTAAAGGTTATAGAGGAGAAGAACACTAGTACGACTGGGCTGGAAAATCAAATTATAACACTTGAAAACCAGATGTCAAGATTGGAGCAACAGGCCAGACAGTGTAATATTGAAATAGCTAACTTGCCCGAGCGGCGTGGAGAAAACCTTATTAGCATCCTTGAAAACCTGGGTGACGTCATCAAACAGCCGATCCGAGCCTGTGACATCGTTGCCGTCCACCGTGTGCCACATGCTGACTCGGGCAATCGCTTTCCTAAGAATGTCATAGCTAAATTCACCAATAGGACCCTCCGCGACAACATAATCTCGGCATACCGCTCCACAAAGGGGCTGGACTCGAGTAAACTTTCAATGAGCGGTACTCCAGCTAGAATTTACATCAACGAGCACCTTACTCTAAACAATAAAATATTGTTTCGACAGTGCCGGGAGGCAGCAAAAAAGGAAGGATTTAAATACGTCTGGGTCAAACACGGCAGCATCCTGGTGCGCAAGTCGGATACCTCCCCGGTCTCCTCCATTCGGTCAATCGCTGACATCAGTAAAATTAAGTAATTACCGTGATAAGTGCAAAAAATATGTGTGTAACACTGAGTACAAAGCAGCATATAATAATAATATAATGTGTTCTTGTGGGTACGTACATACGATAACTAAAAGCAGAGTAACCTTCTATCCCGTGTTATGTAGTGTGTGGACGAGCGATGGCCAATTAAATCAAGTGTTTTTAAATGGTCAGAAGACCTATAGTTTTCTAGTTCTAGTTTGCCTGTTGTCTGTGCTAAGAAAATTACTTTGCGATTACTCTCTATACTGTAAACTAACCAAACAAAATTTGCAATGCAATGTAATAATGATTGGAAGTGCAGACGTTATAAATATTAATTTTACAATTTCTAATCTCGAGTGTTCAAGTAAAGCTGTTTTTTTGATGGGGTTCATACATAAATATGTGTGTGAAGCAATGCAATGTGTAATCAACTGTTTAATATTTTTACATGGTACATATTATCATATAATATATTATGTAATAGTGGTTGGAAGTGTAGACGTTATAAATATCAATTTAACTATTTCTAATTTCAAGTACTCAATTATAACTGTATGTTTTTTTGTGGAGTTCATACTCAAATATGCCTCTGAAGCAATGCAATCTGTAATCATCTTTTTACTCTCTTTACTTTATACGTATTACTGTATAATTGCTTCACTTCTAAGTAGCACTTCGATAACTTTAATTGAGTACCTATCAGGTAACGGTGTGGCAATGGTTTCATGTCGTTTGTGTTGTGCCATTCTTGATGTTGTTCTGAAGGGTTTCAGATGGACACACATAGAAATAAAGCAATCATATTATAGTTCGCATGAGTTCTTTATTATTTACTACCTATCTACCTACACATATTTCATAAAAATAACAATAACAAATACTACACAAATAACTTCAAACTTTAATGTATTTATACTTTTATATCTCAGTCTCGGCCTCAAAATATGGGTACAATATGAATCATACAACATCGTACCGCAACTCGTACGAAACAAACCTATAAACATAATATATAACAGTTCACTATTTCATATACCAAGCTTGTATACATGCTTAAGTTTCTCTCGATGGATAAGTTAACGTTATCGTTATACTATCAAAATTGTCGTGGACTGCGCACAAAATTGCATACCCTGTACATGAATATTCTGGCCCATGATTATGATATCATTGTCTTGACCGAGACTTGGCTACATAAACACATTTCTGATAGTGAATTCATAGACCCGCGATATCGGGTGATCCGGCGCGACAGAGACCGCGTTAGTAGCGGCCGGCGGGATGGCGGTGGGGTGCTCGTGGCGGTCCGGCGCGAGCTCTGTGTAACGACGGCGCGCAGTGCGCGCGGACCCGGCGCGGGCGCCCAGCCGAATGCTGACCATGCTGGGTCCTACTCCTCTCTTGTCGACCATGTTTTGATTGAACTGCGGTCTAACAACTACTGTTGTATAGTCAGCGCAGTATATATTCCGCCAAACCTGCATTCTGACGTATATTTAGAACATTTTAATTACCTTTCCGAAATATTACAGAGTGGAGACTTTGATGAGTACATTTTGATAGGTGATTACAATTTACCCACAGTCCAATGGCAGGACTGTGGAAACTATCTAGTACCAATAGCTACACCCACTTGTAGTACTCCAAATAAACTTTTTGTTAACTTTATGTCCCCATTAAATGGCTTTCAAATAAATAAATGTAAGAATATCAGAAATAGACTACTGGACCTTTTAATAACAAATATCGGGGAATTCACAACCTCACGAGCACCAATACCATTCGTGCAATCTGATGAAAATCACCCTCCATTTTTTGGACTCTTGACCATTAATAAAAACGTTTCATCCCTCATATGCAAACCTAGAGTAGAACATAACTTTAAAAAGGGAAACTATGATTCCTTAAACAAAGACTTAAGCAGTATAAACTGGGATGAGTTATTATCAGCTTGCAATGCAAACAGTGCAGCTTGCTTATTTTACGAAAAAATATATGACCTAATAAAAACTCATATACCTACCAGAATTATCAAATCTTCTCGATACCCCAAATGGTTCTCCAGGGCCCTTATTCATATCTTTAAAAACAAAACCAACGCTTGGATTAAGTGGAAGAAGTCTAATAAACGAAGTGACTACGAAGTGTTTTCTATGTACAGGGCCAGATTTAAATTGGAATCTAAAAAATGTTACAGATCTTACATGGACTCTGTGGAGAACAGTATACTCGGTAATATTAAGTTTTTCTGGACATACGTCAATAATAACAAGGCAACAGCGGACATACCTGATAGACTTACATACGACAACGAATATGCGGATAATCCCAGTGATGTCTGTCGTTTGTTCTCAGATTTCTTTCAGTCAGTCTTTGAACCATCTTTAGTTCCAGATGACTATGACATTGACGCTCTTCCGGACACAAATCACGACTCAGACTTACTACTAAGCAACATTACTCTCACAAGTGAGGATGTATTAAGAGAACTTAGCAACATTGATGCCACAAAGGGCTCTGGTGTTGATAACATACCGCCCATTTTCTTGAAACTGACAGCCAAAGCAATATGCTATCCTGTTCAATGTATCTTTAACAAATGCCTTAAAGAAGGTGTTTTTCCGATTATCTGGAAGGCTGCTCGTATCGTACCAGTATTCAAAGGAGAAGATAAAAGCAATGTAGAGAATTATCGTCCCATATCTATCCTGTGCGCTCTGTCGAAAGTCTTTGAGAGACTAGTTCACAATAGCATCTACCCTTCCCTACATAACATTATTATTGAACAGCAACACGGTTTTGTAAAACGTAGATCAACTAGTACAAATCTTTTAATCTATGCTTCGTATATTTTTGAGAGCATAGACGCCAATAAAAGAACGGATAGTATCTACACTGACTTCCGGAAGGCTTTCGACAGAGTCGACCACAAAATATTATTGGACAAACTCGCATACAACGGCATTCGTGGGGATCTCTGGCGATGGTTTAAATCTTATATAACTAATCGCACCCAGAAAGTAGTTGTGCGTGGGCATGAATCAGAGTTTGTTCCAATTACTTCAGGAGTGCCGCAAGGCTCTATTCTTGGACCTCTGTTGTTCATTCTATTCATTAATGATGTTCATCACTGTTTTAGATTTTGCAGTTTCCTCTTGTATGCCGATGACCTAAAAATTTATAGCACTGTGGAGAGCGATGATGATCATTTGAGATTTCAAGCTGATCTAGACCGCTTCTCTAACTATTGCGTCATAAATAAATTAAAATTAAGTCTCAATAAATGTAAAGCTATAACATTCACCAAAAAAAGAATAACATATAACTATAAATACAGCTTATCTGGTTTGCAACTTGAATCTGTTGAATCTATAAAAGACCTAGGAATCATCCTAGATTCTAAATTAACTCTTGATACTCACATTTATAATATAATTAATAACGCCTTCAGAATGTATGGTTTTGTAATGCGTAGAACTGAACATTTTCTAAAACCATCTACATATATATTTTTGTATAAAACACTAATTCGATCACAACTTGAGTATGCTGTGTCTATCTGGAATCCCTTCTATAATAAATATGTTTTGGCCCTCGAAAGAATCCAAAAAAAGTTCCTTCGTTCTTTACACTACCGATTCTCTCGTAGATACTTGTCATACCAACAGCTTCTTGAAAAATATCATCTTCTCAGTCTAAGGCACAGACGCATGCAACTTGAGGCTACATTGTTATATGACTTGTGTCACAACAGATACGATTGCGCCCCACTAATTGGTAAACTATGTTATAAGGTACCCACAAGGGCACACTGCCGTGCGCCTTGTCGATTGTTTGAGACTTCCCGTACACGAACAAATGCTGGAAAACGATCACCCCTGTTTCGTCTTGTACAAAATTATAACGAGAGCTTTCACTCAGTCGATATTATTGCGGCTCAACCAGGTGCATTCAGAAAAATGATATTGCTCACATTGCAGGACAGTGCTATTTGAACCAACACAAATTTATAAGTACACTACCTCTCAACGAAATGTGTAATGATTTTGTTTAATAAATCTGTGGTAAACGGTGTTGGTGACAAATGGACACTTACTATTGTAATGTATACTTATTTGTATAATTTCTCGTTTGTCACTGTTTGTTTACCCCAATAAAATAAAATAAAAAAAAATAAACTAAGCTTTAAATTTACTTTGGTACCTGCATGCCAAATTTCGAAGTGTCTAACTTAAGCGGTTTAGATTTTTATACAAAAGGATTTTCCCGCTTATTCCCGTTCCCGTGAGAATTTCGGGAATTCCTTTCTTAGTGCACCTCTACGGTACCTAAGCTATGTCTCTTCCAAATTTCAAGTGTGCCTACGTTTAGCTGTTTAGGCTGTGCGTTGATATGTCAGTCAGTAAGTCTCTCCTTTTATATANAAATTTCAAGTGTGCCTACGTTTAGCTGTTTAGGCTGTGCGTTGATATGTCAGTCAGTAAGTCTCTCCTTTTATATATTTAGACTAGCTTTCCGCCCGCGGCTTCGCCCGCGTGGAATTTTGTCTGTCACAGAAAAACTTTATCGCGCGCGTCCCTGTTTCAAAAACCGGGATAAAAACTATCCTATGTTCTTTCCCGGGACTCAAACTATCTCTATGCCAAATTTCATCAAAATCGGTTGCGAGGTTTAAGCGGGAAAGCGTAACAGACAGACAGACAGACAGACAGACAGACAGACAGACAGACAGACAGACAGACAGACAGAGTTACTTTCGCATTTATAATATTAGTTGGGATTCTTTAACGATCTGCCTTTGTCTGATGATGTAATGTGCAAATGTGCAATGGCAATCATGAGAACTATGGGTATTTATGTATCTTATCAAAACAAGGTCTACGTAGGTACAGTACCAATGTCCGTCCGTCAACAAACGCCTACAAACGCCCTTTCTTCACAATCACTGCAGTAGATAAACACTATCGTGACCTATGACAACAACCGAGCTACAGACAAACAAAAT